TGTCAGCACCACATCGGTGACCCTTTCTGATCTTAGCACACCTTCAACACCTCCTGTTGACACCAGCACACCTGTGACCACTTCTACACGAGTCATTTCATCTCCTACCACTCCTGAAGGTACCAGTATGCCAATCTCTACTCCTAGTGTACGAAGCACTCAATTAACACCTATTCCTGTCAGCACCACACGTGTGACCAGTTTTGAGGGCAGCACCCTTTCAACACCTTCTCTTGACACCAGCACACCTGTGACTACTTCTACCCAAATCAGTTTATCTGCTACAACTCCTGAAGGTACCAGTATGGCAACCTCGACTCCTAGTGAAGGAAGCACTCCATTAACAACTCTTCCTGTCAGCACCTCACATGTGACCAGTTCTGAGGGCAGCACCCTTTCAACACCTTCTGTTGACACCAGCACGCCTGTGACCACTTCTATCCAAGTCAGTTCATCTGCTACAATTTCTGAAGGTACCAGTATTCCAACCTCGACTCCTAGTGAAGGAAGCACTCCATTAACAACTATTCCTTTCAGCACCACACCTGTGACTAGTTCTGCAGGCAGCATGCTTTCAACACCTTCGATTGACACCAGCACATCTGTGACCACTTCTACCCAAGTCAGTTCATCTCCTACCACTCCTGAAGTCACCACCATGCCAATCTCGACTCCTAGTGAAGGAAGCACTCCATTAACAACTATTCCTGTCAGCACCACACCTGTGACTAGTTCTGCAGGCAGCATGCTTTCAACACCTTCGATTGATACCAGCACATCTGTGACCACTTCTACCCAAGTCAGTTCATCTCCTACAACTCCTGAAGTCACCACCATGCCAATCTCTCCTCCTAGTGACAGAAGCACTCCATTAACAACTATTCCTCTCAGCACCCCACGTGTGACCAGTTCTAAGGGCAGTACCCTTTCAACACCTTCTGTTGACACCAGCACACCTGCGACCACTTCCATCCAAGACACTTCATCTCCTACCACTCCTGAAGTCACCACCATGCCACTCTCGACTCCTAGCGAAGGAAGTACTCAATTAACAACTATTCCAGTCAGCACCACACGTGTGACCAGTTCTGAGGGCAGCACCCTTTCAATACCTTCTGTTGACACCAGCACACCTGTGACCACTTCTACCCAAGTCAGTTCATCTCCTACAACTCCTGAAGATACCAGTATGCCAATCTCGACTCCTAGTGAAGGAAGCACTCCATTAACAATTTTGCCTGTCAGCACCACATCGCAGACCATTTCTGATCCTAGCACACCTTCAACACCTCCTGTTGACACGAGCACACCTGTGACCACTTCTACCCACGTCAGTTCATCTCCTACAACTCCTGAATTCACCACCATGCCAATCTCTACTCCTAGTGAAGGAAGCACTGCATTAACAACTATTCCTGTCAGCACCACACGTGTGACCAGTTCAGAGGGCAGCACCCTTTCAACACCTTCTGTTGACACCAGCATACCTATGACCACTTCTACCCAAGTCAGTTCATCTCCTACAACTCCTGAAGGTACCAGTATGCCAATCTCGACTCCTAGTGAAGGAAGCACTCCATTAACAATTTTGCCTGTCAGCACCACATCGGTGACCCTTTCTGATCTTAGCACACCTTCAATACCTTCTGTTGACATCAGCACACCTGTGACCACTTCTACACGAGTCAGTTCATCTCCTACCACTCCTGAAGTCACCACCATGCCAATCTCTACTCCTAGTGAAGGAAGCACTCCATTAACAACTATTCCTGTCAGCACCACACGTGTGACCAGTTCTGCGGACAGCACCCTTTCAACACCTTCAGTTTACACCCCATTTCAACACCTCCTGTTGACACCAGCACACCTGTGACCACTTCTACCCAAGTCAGTTCATCTGCTACAACTCCTGAAGGTACCAGTATGGCAACCTCGACTCCTCTTCTACACGAGTCAGTTCATCTCCTACAACTCCTGAAGTCAACACCATGCCAATCTCTACTCCTAGTGAAGGAAGCACTCCATTAACAACTATTCCTGTCAGCACCACACGTGTGACTAGTTCTGAGGGCAGCACGCTTTCAACACTTTTTGTTGACACCACCACACCTGCGACCACTTCTACCCACATCAGTTCATCACCTACAACTCTTGAAATCACCACCATGCCAATCTCTACACCTAGTGAAGGAAGCACTCCATTAACCACTATTCCTGTCAGCACCACACATGTGACCAGTTCTGAGGGCATCACCCTTTCAATACCTTCTGTTGACACCAGCATACCTGTGACCACTTCTACCCAAGTCAGTTCATCTCCTACAACTTCTGAAGGTACCAGTATGCCAATCTCGACTCCTAGTGAAGGAAGCACTCCATTAACAATTTTGCCTATCAGCACCACATCGGTGACCCTTTCTGATCCTAGCACACCTTCAACACCTCCTGTTGACACCAGCACACCTGTGACCACTTCTACACGAGTCAGTTCATCTCCTACCACTCCTGATGTCACCACCATGCCAATCCCTACTCCTAGTAAAGGAAGCACTCCATTAACAACTATTCCTGTCAGCACCACACGTGTGACCAGTTCTGAGGGCAGCACCCTTTCAACACTTTCTGTTGACACCACCACACCTGCGACCACTTCTACCCACATCAGTTCATCACCTACAATTCCTGAAATCACCACCATGCCAATCTCTACACCTAGTGAAGGAAGGACTCCATTAACCACTATTCCTGTCAGCACCACACATGTGACCAGTTCTGAGGGCAGCACCCTTTCAACACCTTCTGTTGACACCAGCATACCTATGACCACTTCTACCCAAGTCAGTTCATCTCCTACAACT